TCAATTTTCAGTCAATTGTCTTTGTGATTCATGTCAATCCTATACAATTGAACAACAAAAGTGTTGTTGACTTTCTTTTCTTTTGTAACCCTTTATATATTTTTGCTAAAAGAATTTTATATTCATTTACGTCAAAATGCATTACATTTTTGTAAATTTCGGTGAATTGTCCGCAATCTAGATATGTAAGAAATAAACACTGAGCACAGTGTAACAGCATTAAGCTGGAATCAGTATATAGCTTGTCACCTATTAGCTGTTTTGTATGTTGCTTAGTGTTTTTTTTTCTTCCTCTCTATTTTACAAAAAACTAGCGAAGACAATTTTGTAAGAAACGAGCTAATAGATAAAGATAAATATTCTCTGTAAGTATTCATGATCGAACGAACAGGTCTTATCCTTACTTACTTTTAAAACACATGCTGCACAAGGAAAGACATTTCGATAATATCAATATAATTAAATATTCTGACAATTGATAAAAGAAAAATACAAATACCAACAATAATTAAAAATAAATATAAAAGCACGTTTTGACTGTGAAATTCAAAATTTTATATACAGATGATACAATAAATCAAATAATGGATGTATACTAATATCACGTATATAATATTTTATACGTCATTGACAAGCTTTTTTATCTTTTCATAATTCAACCTCTGACCCGGGTATGACCTGCTTTATCAAAATGAGAGCAATTAAAATATCATAATTTGTTCTTTGGAACAAAAAGTCACCGATTGGCGAGGAATTGTGTATTGCCAGAGAATATATAAAGCAATTATGTGCAATAAAGAAGAAACGACATTAGATGATTCAAAAGCATTGTTAATAAGACTATCATGATTATTCCCCTTATCTTTTTCAACAACATGTATGGACTTTCACATTAATATATACACACTTAACATTGACTTGGCATCTTGCCCAGAAAAAATGTATTTATATGTCTATTTATAGTACCATACGTCAAATTTTGTTGCCGTTTTTCTGGACCTCATTAATCATGTATCATTGAAATATATCCTGATGAAGGTACCGGTAGATCCTTGAATAAACCAGTTTACATACCATCCTGATGTTTAACGCTTGTTCTCTCCTTCTCTTGATTCACTTGCTGTATTACTATATAAAGTCACATTGCGTTATACAATTCAACAACTTATTTTGCGGGAGTATACCAGCATTTGTATATACACATCTTAGTTACTTTATTAGAAAGTGTTTGCCTGTAAGAAATTTACGAAGATGTGTCTAAGCGAGGGAGAAAACAAAGTTTGAAATTCTCCTCAAGATATCTGGGATAATTCCCCTTGCTTTAGTTCTGTCTGTATGAATGTAAGATGATATTTTAAGAAGCAGAACACAATATTGTTGTACTCTCCTTGCAAGTATGCGTCTTCATTAGTACAGATATCGTAGGGTGAAGTAAATTCACAATCGTATTATATAACACACACTATCCAACTATGATGTATTCCATTTTACAAAAATAGAAAAACCGTTATTTACATTATCTTTAAGTCATTGTGATAGATTATACTCCGATGAGGAATGACCTCCGATTGTTGTTCATCTTTTTTATGTATCGTCTCCTCATACTTTCCTCTGTTGATGTATTCTTGGTTGATGAAAATTCGGTTGAATTGTAATAGGTATTCAAATTCTAGATAAATCCATTTTTTTTTCAAACATGTTTGTATAAAATATTAAAGGATAGTCTAGTCTGTGACACAGACAAGGTATGAGTTATTCCTATATAGCGATATTTATTTGGCGATGATAGTTCTGTAAACGTTTGGTTCAAAATTCTTGAAAAATGTTGAAGCAGTTGCATATAGAAAAGTTACCCCTTTACATTGCATATGATGTATGCAGAAAAAGGGCTGTACATCTGGATGGGCGCTCTATTAAAATTCTAACATGTTATCGGCATATTAACATATTACTGTCAGTTACATGGTTTCCTATTGATTTCATTGTGGAAGGCAAAGGTTCTGAAATTATGAATGCTAATTGTGTAGGCATATTTGTTTAGAATTACATAACGTTCAATCCAGTATCTGTGTCAAAAGCCAAAGGTTAACAAATTACTATTTATAACCAGATTTTCTGTTAAAATGATTTTTGTGCCCCCACATTAGTGGCGGGCATTTAGATTTACCCTTGTACGTCCGTCCATCCGTCCGTCCTTCCGTCCGTCCGTTCTTTTTTGTGTCGCACATAACTCAAAAAGTATTTGACCTAGAGTCATGAAACTTTACAGGAATGTTGATCGGCATGTGAAGTTGTTCACCTGGGTATTTTCGTCTGGATATTTTTAGCATTTTTAGAGTTATTGCCCTTGATCTAGTAAAATTTTTGCAATTTTCAACTTGTGTCGCATGTAAGTCAAAAAGTATTTGACCTGGAGTCATGATACTTTACAGGAATGTTGATCAGCATGTGTAGTTGTGCACCTGGGTATTTTCGTCGGGATATTATTAGTATTTTTAGAGTTATTGCCCTTGAATTTGTAAAATTTTGCAATTTTCAACTTGTGTCGCATGTAACTCAAAAAGTATTTGACCTAGAGTCATGAAACTTTACAGGAATGTTGATCAGCATGTGTAGTTGTGCACCTGGGTATTTTTGTCTGGATTTATTTAGGGTTTTTAGAGTTATTGCCCTCGACTTAGAAAATGTTTGCAATTTTTAACTGTGTCGCATGTAACTCAAAAAGGATTTGACATAGAGTCATTAAACCTTATGGGAAAGTTGCTCAGCATATTTAGTTTGTTCCTGGGGTTTCGCTTGTGGATTTATCCAGTATTTTTAGAGTTATTTCCCTTGACTTAGTAAAAACTGTTTCATTATGTTAAAAATATTTGTTCCTTGAGTGCTTGAGTTAGAATGGGTCGACTTTACAGGAATAATGATCAACATCACTAAATTACAGGAATAATGACATCACTGTGAAGCTATGAACCTGGAACTTTGCATGTTTTTTTTTCGTTTTGTTAGAGTTATTGCCCTTCACTTACAGTAGTATAAATTTGCAATTTTCAACTTGGGGTTTGCTTGGGTATTTATTCAGTATTTGTAAAGTTCTTGCCCTTTACTTAGTAAAAAGATTTTTAGTTTTCAAAAAATATTTGACCTATAAGATTGACAGAACAGTGGCGCGGTGGGGGCACCCGTGTCCTATGGACACATTTCTAGTTAGATTTGTAAAAGTATGTATAGAAATAAAATCTCACATCTCATTTCAATTAGCAAATTTCATAAAATACATTTTAGCATCACAAAAATATGAATTGTTGTGACATATTTTCGATATGTTTATGATAATGAGGTATTAAAATGAAAAACACAATTGTTTCCTTTAACAATACCATACTTTATCTGAATATGCATCCATGCCATAATAATATAATTATAAAGAATGAAATATAACTCATACGAGACACAATGAGACTGCAAGCATCAGGTCTTAGTATTAACGTCCTAAATTGGTTCAAATCATATTTATCAGATAGCAGCTTGTGGATGTCTCTGGTACTTATTCTTCCAATTCAAAAATAACATGTGGTGTTCCTCAGGGCTCAATCCTTGGACCCCTTCTCTTTTTAATTTATGTAAATGATATGTCAGCTGTGGTCAAAAATAAATTGCTTTTGTATGCTGATGATTCTGGTATCCTTGTATCTGGTAATAGTTTATCTGTTGTTGAAAAGGCATTGACAGATGATATGGAATTGGTCAGCCAATGGTTAGTGGACAATAAGTTGTCATTGCACTTGGGTAAAACCGAGTCAATTTTATTTGGGTCCAGGCAAAAGCTTAGGTCACAATCTAACCTGCATATAACCTGTTCTGGTACATTCATTGAATCAACTTCATCTATCAAGTATCTTGGGATTACTATAGACCAAAATCTGTCATTTTGCGCCATGGCTGAGTCTGTTCTTAAGAAGGCCAACTCTCGGATAAAATTTCTTTACTGCAAGAAAGAGTTTCTTACTCAGCATACCAAGACACTTCTGGTTATGTCTCTTATTCAGTGTCACTATGATTACGCATGCTCTGTTTGGTATACATGTAATAGCTTGACACAGTCTTTAAAAAATAAGTTACAAACTTGTGAAAACAAAATAATGAGATTTGTACTTGACTTGGACTCCAAAGCCCATATTGACCCATCCCACTTTAAGTCCCTTAACTGGTTACCGGTCCACAAAAGAGTTGAACAGATAATGTTGTGTCATGTTTTTAAGATAAAAAATGGCCTATCCCCGGATTACTGTCTGAACACTTTATTTCACAAGATTCCATTCATAATTATAGTACAAGACTTAGTCACAAGGGTGGGTATTGTCTACCTAAGGTCAAAGGCCAGGGTTCTAAATCCTTTGCTTTCTCTGGTATTAAATTATGGAATGATTTACCTGTAAAATTAACGGAGATCAACAGGTTACAAAGTTTTAAGGTTGCCATCAAAAGTCATCTTATGAACAGTATTTAAATTTTTTTTAAACATGTTTTTACATATTTCGGCTCAGGATTTTAAATTGTCTGCTATTTATCTTATTACAATTTTAGTAATGTGTTTTAAATCCTAGCTGTAAACAGGAGTATCATTAACTCAAAATTTGACTGTGATATACATTTTTATGATTTATTAGTATTTTTAAACATGATTATATTTAGGTTTGCCTCTCTATGTCATGCCGCCAATACAAAGGACCACAATGGAAATAAGAGCTTTTTTGCCCTTTTTGTGTTATCCTTGGTTTTGGTGAGCATGTCCTAGTTTTACTCGTATGTGATAAAGTATTTAATAATGCTCATTATTTTATCCTATGTTATATTGTCAACTATGTATATGCTTCCTTTGCCGAAATAAATCTATCTATCTATAATAGATGTAAGTGAAACTCATTCGGAAAATAAAGTATTGAATAATATTCAGAGGACAATTATGATTGCTTCTAAATAAAACATCTTTTGTTTATAAAGATCAACTTCCAGAAGGATATTTAAAACGATTACATAAGGCAATGACTTCATTGAAGCATTTTTATTTTTAAGAAAATATAAATTTAAATCAACTCTAAGTTTTGATATGACATCGAATTAATTTATAGGTGTATGTGTGCATTCTGTTTTCCTAATGTTTGTTTATTTTTCGTTATATGTCTGCATCAAGCGGAACATTCTCCTTATTGATGTTGCCCTGGAGATGCTGTAAAAGTAAAGAAAATAAATTAAAGGTTTTTTTTTAGTTTCCTATTTTCTAATTTTTTTCTAGTGTTTAATACTTAAATTCTTAAAAATTGTAGATACTATAACTATTTTATATCACCATAAATATTTAAGAGAAAAAATTATGTTATTACCTAGTTTTTTACTAGTGTAAACGAAATATGGCTTAAGCTTCTTAAGTTAAAAGTAGAAATTATGTAAACATTATTACTTTAAGTCTTATCGTCATAGTCACGCATTGCATACAGAGACTTTTGATTTTTTTCTCTAAATGCTTGACTCTGATCAGATTCCTTTTTAAGCTGTTTGATATAGTTTATTGTTTCACTCAAAATGTCGCTTGTCGTTTGACCAGACAAACTATAAAAAAGAGATAAGTATAAACAGTTTTGAAATATTTGAGAATTTGTGTTTTCTATATACATGTACTTATAAATGAAGTATTTAGAGAAATATTGATAAATGAAAAGCGTATTTTATTTTTCTGTACTTGCAGTGTAAAAATATATTTTTCACTGCAGTGAAACATATTTTCCGTTTTTTCACCAAGTGTCTAATCAAACTACTTTCTTCTAAATTCAGCAAATATAAAATATTAAAAGGGAATTCTTCCTATTTATAAGCTTTAAAAAGAGAAAATGTATATATTAACCCGAAAATTCAAGTTTTTTTCTTTTAATACAGGATTTATATTCATCTTTTTCATACCACTCGATGAAAATAAATCCTGTATTTATAGAAAAAACTTGAATATCCTTTATATATTCAATATCGTATTTGGAACCAAAAATTGACATCAACTTGTAGCAAAGTAATAATATTAAAAAAAAGGAAATTGTAATATGTTCAATTTCGTAGGCCTTGTTAATATGTTATTTTTAATCTTGGTTTTTTGCTGGTTGTTTAAAAAATTGAATAATGAAGCATATAAATTTGAATAAAAGAAAGTTTACATACCGAGTGTTTTCATGAAGTGGAAGAAGAGACCCAAGTTCGGAGATTCTGTCGCTCACGAACTTCTGACTCCGTTCTGTAGTATAAACAATTCAATAATTTTAAAGAATCAAACCAAAATGCTATAATACAAAATGTAAATACTTTATATTAATTTTTAATTGACTATTGAATACATTGTAACTAATACAAGACGGGACTTGCAGCAGATACAAATCAGACAAAATAGTTAGTGCTATAATTGCTAGCTTATAATTTTACATTTAGCTCAATAAATTTAGCGCCCTACCATTTTCTTTGCAATTCTTGTCAGAGTTCTCATCAACACTGCTTGTATTATTGAAACCAGCTTTTATCTGGAAATAATTTATTTTCTTGAGATTAGATTTCGTTTTATTGATTTCACCTTCATTTAATATAGAATTTAAAAATAAAACGCTGTAACATTTAATGTTTTATATCCTTAGAAAAGTCAAATCCACTTTTATTCATTATACCATTTCAAACGACGAGAAAAATGTTCTTAAAGGTATTCTCATCACGTGCTTGATGCATATTTATTTATATTTTACAATACTTATGATTATGAATAGCCATTCGATAAATTTAATTAATTGATAATTTTATCATTTCAGGTTTATGGACCCTAAATGGCACCAATAAGAATACGCTTTTCGTTACTTTTATCTTTTTCTAGATAGTACAGGACATTTAGATTTTGAATATTAGAACACATAACCTAATTTATTATTATTATTAAAAAATTCTTATTATTATCATCATCATTATAATTATTGTTAATGGTCACACTTTCTTCTAGCATTTTTGTTCACATCTAAATTACTATGTCATATTTAGAAGAAATTTGTTTGCAAGTTAAATAAGGTTTCCAATATAGTAAACTCCGCTTATAACGAACTCATTGGGAGTTATAAGTTCCTTATAAGCATATAGCGAATTAGTTCCTGGTATCAGGAGTTTTTATAGCGAACAGATTTCCATATAACGGACTGATTGTTTACCATCGTTCGCAATTTTCAAGGGCATTCGATTAAGAAATATTGGTCATTTATTTCTTTTTGAGACACAGTACCTCATAGCGTATTTTTTGGAATGTTCAAAATCCTTAGCTATTTCAGTTTTAGTTTTACTCTTTTTTTCAATTTCACATAAAATATCATTTTTTTTCTAAACTCAGTGCTTTTCGTGTTCTTTCCGAGATTAAGAATAAACAAGATATTCGATTTTTCCTTCCATTTATATCTTCTATTATATTTTTATGGGTGGTGACTTTTACTTATGAATGATAAAGATTTCTGTTTATTTCAATCAATCATACTTTGTAGTTTTCAATGGATAAGCAAACATGCATGATTATTTTGAAAACCGATTATAAATGATAATAATTATTTTACTCGCGCAAACCTATTAAAGAAAAGAAATAATTAAATACAATAAAAAGAATATCTTAGTGACAAGAACTCCTAATAAGATATCCTAAACAGAAAACTAAATATATTACGTACTGCTATTCAAATCCATTTTAACAGCTGTATTGAAGTACAAACAACGATAAACGGTACAATCGGGCGAGCTTTTTTCCTTGCCAAAGAAAACAAAAGTTGAGAATGCGGGATCTATTTACGAATAGCCGGTTATAAAAGTGTAATTTTCTGTACTTTTAATTAATTTGGGACGAAAAAAAAACGAGTTCCTTATAAGCGATAATTCCTTATAACCGTGTTCATTATAACCATATATATTTATATTAAATAAAGAAGGGCAAAATTCGGGTCAAAATAAATTGTTACTTATAACCGGAAGTTCGCTATAACCGTGTTCGCTATAAGTGAAGTTTACTGTATAGCTATCACAGAAAAAAAACAACTATAAACTGAATAAGGAAATCTTTCTTCCGACCTACAGAGAAGTAAATGAAATTCTTTGTTCCATTAAAATGTTCATTTTTAAAGATGCACAAGCAAAAGTAGTACGAACCGGGACAACAGTAAACCAATAATAAGATAATTACATGGACGGTTCACAAACATAGTATTCAGAGGAGCACTTTTACGCTCAGAACTTGCTAAGTACTTGCGTAATTGACTGTCATATTATAAGGAAGAATGCGGCATTGAAGAACGGCATTTATTTTAGGAAAATGTGTGACTGGCTAAATATTTCGACGGAGAAAAAGGTGCAAAGTACAGGAATGGGTAAGTTATGAAAGGATAATGTGGCTTCACAAGCAGCGTACAAAAAGTGTTAACGTGGCGGAATTACAGCGCGTCAGATATTTTCATATTTTCTAAACAATTTAATTAAGTAACGATATCAATGAGTGATGACTAAACTTTTAACCTAAAGTTAATATTTCAACATAATAATATATAGTTTTATAGAATGGTGTTTTTTTATTTTAAAAGATAAATGAAATAAATAATTTAGCTTTTTAATACAATAGTTCGTGACATTTTATAAGTGACAATTGTATATACTTAAATGAAAATCAAGGGCTCAGATGTTTTTGAATAACATGTTATTACAATACTGTTTTGTGTTTCTTTATATCATTATATAAAGTCATATAATTTACAAAAACTTAAAACAAGATATATGTCCTAGTCGTAGTCCATACAAAACATACGACAAAAAATGAACTTTCGCTTCAAAAGACTTATATTAGCAAAGGTAAAGTAGGAATTCTAAGTTTAAAAAATACACAAAGCTTTGGATGTCACTACCGAAGGCCGGGGTTAGTACTAGGGCAAAACACCATAATAATTACTTTTTGTGACTTTGCTCGTGAGATACATGATATTCCTTATTCTTTTTAAGCCTTGTGTTATACTGATTTAATTTATTGGGACCTACAAATATATTCTACAGTACCAGAAAGTAAGGTGCAACAATATACTTGTACAAATAAATAAACACAACGAAATTAAAGCAATCTAATTATATTAGTATACTGGCTTCCTTTTATTATATGTATATAATCATTTAGAATATATAACATGCATATAATCGTTTAGAATGACATGTGAAGAGAAAGGAGTCTAATCATAAATATGGTCAACTTTTTACATGCCATTTTCAGGACGTTACTCGAAAGTTCGCAAAATTCCGCGTTCTCCTTGAATATACATGTATACGACTTAATTTCGATGTATTTTTAGGTATTTGGTTAACATAGCTCCCAACAGTTTTTGAATTTAAGATTTAATACACCTGATAACCAACAAATAGTTTCAATAGTCCACTAGAAAGTAGTTGTGTCCCCTTTCATACGTTTTTACTTGTGATGCAAACTCCGAATGGCTGGTATATATTAAAGAAATCATAATTTGACATAAGATACAGGCAGTGACAAACAAAATCAATTTAACATTTACATATATGTAATTATGAAGAATGTATTTTTATGTTTAACACTGAGCGTAACTTAAAAATAAATAATTTCAATAAACTTTCAATATGAAAATATATATAACTATGTATGCACTGTATTTGTCTGAGGCGATAATTTATGAAGTAGCATCTTTCGAAAACAATCTAATGAAAAAATATTTCAATGTTTAAATGCTTTTTGGCTAAAACTTATGTGCATTCTTTTGTAGACTAGTCGGTTATTCTTTACTTTAAAAACCAATTTGGAAAAATTATGGAACACATTTTATTTCAGGGTTTCTGACATATATGTCAAGTTAAACCGTTTCATTTAATAAGTCACCCAATCTGATTAAAATCAGCTCTAAATAACGGTCCGCTTTTAGACCTGAGCGTGACCATATACGAAATTATTTCTGGGGACTATTCACATTAAAAATTGACTACTTGTTTTCAAGTAATTAGTTAAAAATTACTTCAAACATTCTTTTTCCTTAAAAAATCAACAATTTGTTTAACTTCCACGTTTTACGGTATTTTGATACTTCTAATGCCTATGAAAAAAACGGTTTGATTGCATGGCTAAAAATAGCTTTTTCGGGAAATCCGAAACATATACGGCGAAGGCGAAACATATACGACCGTCATCAGATCTACATAAAAGAAATAGGTACATATGAAGTAGATATGAACATTAGTCAGATTGTAAGGTACATTGACAATAATTTTTTGTTAGTTTATTTTTTGTAATATAGAGAAATTGAAAGATTGACGATTTGTCTTGTCATCAACCGATATACACCAGGTAAATAAATAGAGGCTATAAGTTTGTTTGTGTTTAAGATGAAATTTTTATTTCATCGAGTGAGCTTTAAAAACAGTATTCTTTTGAGTGACGTAGCCACGAGTGAGAAAACTGTTTTTAAAATTCTAGATATGAAATAAAATTAACTCTTACACAACAAACAAACAAATTCTCTTTTTACGTCATGCTTAAAACAAGTTAAAATGAAATTTACTTAATATTAAATTTTGTTTTCCTCACTGGTAGCCTAAATTTACTCGAATTTCACATAAAATACAAGAAGTCTTGAGCTGAAAACTAAGTTCGACAATCAACATTAAATTGCGATGATATTATTTATTTACTTAAAACAATGTGAATGATCACTTGCTTTAATAACAAAAAACAAAGAATTCAAGTAGAAGAAAAAGTCACACCGTCCGACCTTATTTCCGTTCCTTACGGCGAATTTATATTAGACCAGGCGGCCACCATTTTTAAAAGTTGTGTATTTCACAGGAGGAAAAAAATCAGTCAGAGGATATCTCTTGTATTTGTTGATCATACATCATTTTATAAGAAAGAAAACTTATTTGAGGATTGTTACAGACAATAAATAAGTGTTGACAGATTTGTAAACATTCAAAAAGCGGCTAGGAAATTGGAAAACATGGATTTGTTGAAAGGCTGTCTTACGAAGGCTTGATTGTTTACTTATTTTTCATAAGTTTTCATAATGCGTTGGGCAGTTATTACTCGTAGGATACGTAAACATGCCCAAATGTCATCTAGCAGTTTTGTATGTGGAAAGAATTGTATTTTTCAGACTGTAAAACTAAAACAAAAAAATTAGAGACGATATTTAGTGATTGGTAATTTGAATGAATTGAAGCAAGTTTACTTCTTTTTATTACTGATA